CAGCCCCATGCCAGCACCTCCTGGATGGTTTCCATCGGGGGAGGGGGGTCTTTGTGGCGGCACAGGTTCACCATGACCCAGGTGACATTCCTGAGGAAGGTGATGGGGATGGAGGGGCTGATGAAGGACAGCAGTGGCTTCACTACTCCAAGGCTAATGACATAATCTCTACACTGGGGTCCATCACCTGGGGGAGACAAACAGAGGTGTTTTTTTAACAGAAATCATCCCATCATTTCTAGATTTTAACAGAAAACACCCCACTGATGTTTGTAGATTTTAACAGAAAAACACCCCTCCCATTATTTAAAGATTTTAACAAAAACATCCCATCATGTACAGATTTTAACAGAAAATATCCCAGGGACGTTCACAGATTTTAACAGAAAACATCCATCCCATCTTTTCCATATTTTAAACAGAAAACCTCTCATCACTTACAGATTTTAAAACAAAACATCCCATCTTTAACAGATTTATGGTGGTGGGAAGGGAAAGGGGGTGACAGACAACACCAGACCACCAAGAACATTGAGAGCCCTGAAGATTCCTTGATAAAATTTCGAATTGATAATAAAGCATCCCCAGGGGTTGGAGGAACAATAATTATCAATAAAACATCCCCAGGGGTTGGAGGAACAATAATTATCAATAAAACATCCCCAGGGCTTGGTTGGGTGGTGGAGGAGGAACACCCACCTATGATATTTCCTAGAGCCCACACTGCCTGCTCACAAACATTTTGATGAGGTGAATGCAGCAGTCTCAGGAAAAGCGGCACAGCATCTGGAAAGTACAAAAATAACCCAGGGAAATGGTTAAAAAAAAAATGCATCTCAAAAGAGCAAATAATTCACAGAATTAACTCTCACATGAGGTATTTTTTTTTTCCTGTTAAGAATTGGTCAAAGCTTCACTCATTTCCCAGGTGATATTAAAATAAAACACTGCAATAATTCTTCCTTTGCTGCATATTTTAACAGAGCCTGCACTGGAGAATATGAAACCCTTGACATTTAATTTGTTTGCAAGTCTTGAGTTTACTGAAGCTTGTCAGGATCCAAATTTAGTTCCATTTATTGAATTCAGAAATTCTCTGCTAAGTTATGCACCAGACCCAAGTGCAAAGGAACAACAAAGATCAAACTCTGCCACTCAAATGAAGCAACTCCAGAATAAGCAGGAATGGAATGGGAATGAATTAAGGAAAAGGGCAGGAAAGGAATTCACATTTCCATAATTGCTCCTGTTTTATTCTCCCCCAGCACTGAGGTGCTTGCTTACATAATAGCTCAGTCTGTAAAAAACATATTTACTTCATATATTTCAAGAGAAATTTGAAAATTTTAGTTGGATTTTTTTTCTTAATTTAAACCACGTGTTTACTAGAGAAACAACAAATCAGCAGGATTCTTATTTTCTGCTAAATAAAGTTATTTACAGTGTCTGTATGTAAGGAGAAAAAAAAACCATCTCCAGCAAACAGATTAATAAATTTTTATGGAGAAATTACAGCAGACCATGTTTTTAATTGAAATAAATCATAATTTCAAATGTCCCAGCTATTAAATTGACTAACAGAGTGCAATGCAGACCTACAGAAATCACTGAAAAAGTGCTCAATCCATTGATAAATTAGATTTAAAGTGTTCCAGATCAGGGGTGGGATAGATTATCTATTAATTAGATTCCCCAAAGAAAACTCAGGAAGAGGATGGAGAAAAAAGGTAAAAGTATTACCAAAGGTAAATCCTAGAAGGGTGAAAACCAAATTATGTCAAAGTTTACAGGCTCTTAACCCTCAGTTTACCAAAGCAGGAGCAATTAATCTTGCAGAAAACATAAGTTCTGTGTATTTTTTTTCCTTAAATTTTAGGAAAAACTCACTTCATGGTATCTCTGATTCTTCAAGAAGCTCTGGTTTGTTCACTCAATTAAAAACTCTGCCCACTTAATTCTGAATTATCAACAGAAGCTCTGGAGTGCAGAACAAAGTTTGCTTTGCCTGGCATGCTCAGATCTCAACAATAATTCCTTCCCGTGTTTCAGATGCTTCAAAATAGGAAGGACAAGTTTTTAATTCAACTTGATTTTGGAAGAATTCTGGTCCATGAACATTCTTTATTCTTCACAACAGGGAGCTTTTCAGAGGGGTTGTTTGGTTTTATTTTAAGTTTTTTAGTGATTTTGGTGGGGTTTTTTTGGAAACCAGCAGATATCAACTCTGCTCAGATATTTTGAATTTCCACTTTTTGCTCACCATGAGGAAACCCAAGCGGGGTTGAAACCCTGAGAAAATAAAGCCAAAACCAGGTGTGTGAAGTGAACACCTGGCAGCAGCTCCTTCAGGACCTTGATTGATTCCAACCTGATCCCAAATAAATCCCAGAAGGGGATGATGAGAGCAAAGGCAGCACTCACTGGATTGAACTACAGCCTGGGTTTGTTCCGAGGTTCCAGAGGCAATGTTTGTCAAAGCCCACGCAGCTTCAAACTGTAAGGAAGGACTGCAGAGAAAAAAAAAAACAACAAAACACAGGAATTATTATTCACATCAGCTGAACAGCAAGAATTGGTGCAGTGTTTTGAGTTTTGGCAATACTCACTTGTCATCTCTTTCAAGACAGTGCACTAAGATTGGTAATATTCCTGATTTTATGAGGTCGTCAATGGGTGGATTGCGGTCGCTGGACAGCAGCTTCCTGTGCAGAGAAAGGGGGAAAAAAAAAATCAAATTACAGACAAATTCTGCCTGGAAAGGAGCAGGGAGTTGTTTAATCCAGTTTTCCTCTCCAAAAGGGATCAGTGCTGCCATTGGAGCAGGTCAGTAAAGGCTTCCTGTGGTTGAGTTTGGGAATCTCCAGTGCAGCCCCAAAAACCAAATTCCTTCCCAAGGGTTTCTCTCCTCCTCCCAAAGACCCACAGGATTTCTTTCCTCATCTATAAATGAAAATAATCCCCCAAAGTGAAATTATTGAGTCACTGGAAAAACAAATCCATGATACCCTTTGGTCATTTCATTCTGTGTTTTTTCCCTTTTGGAAATTTATCACCAGTCAGGAAAATAAAAGATCAGAGTTGTTCACATCCAACTCCTACAGCAGACACTCAGCTCTTTCTGCACTTAAAGCCAAAGATTTTACAGTCCTTTAAAGTATTTTACTCTGTGAGAAACATCAAGTTTGCACCAAATAAACCCAGGTATTTATATCTAGAGAAAATCCACACTACTTACTAGGTCTGTTTATTCTGATTTCTTTAAACTTCTATTTTCCTTTTAAAAATCAATTAATTCCATTTCACTTAAGCTAGATAATATTTTCTGACCTTAAAAGCATGAGAAAATAAGAAAAAAATCAGGATATTTGAGCAAAGTGTGTTCTTACCTTGCTGCCTGCACAGCACTTAACTGAATACCCTGGTTGTCACTTGAAGCATTCTAAAATAAGAAAAATTAGATTTTTTCACACATCTGTCAATATGCCACAAAGACTATTCAAACAATTGTTTTTAATTGTTTTTACCTGTACTATTGCCTCCAAAGAAGTGTTTTGCTAGAAAACAGAGACAAAAAAGCAGTTAGGAATTTAGAAATTCCAAATGTCCTTTAAAGTATGCAAAAAGAAGGAATTATTGTGAGTTCATTCTTACCACTCTAAAGTCTCCATCTACATCAGAATCTTCACAGATATCTTCATGAGGAACATTCCTTCTCTTCAGGAGATGCTCATCTCTTTTGTTCTTGAAGAGAAAAATTATTAAATACCTTTAAAATTTGGATTTGGGGGGTGTTAAAAAGGGAAGAGAAGCTTCCCTTTTCAAACAATCCTAAATACACCATCACTGACACTTGAATTTTCCAAAAAAAAAAAAGTTGGAAAGGATTGCACAGAGAAGCTGCACATTTTGGGAATTCCTCCTAAAAAAAAAAAATCCTGCACCCAACCTGTGCTGGAAGTTGGAATGTTGATGGATGTGTGCACATCAAAGATCATTTCTAACAGGACTCACAAATTCCCAGATTTTCTCTTCAGCCCAGAGCAAACTTATTCCAGTTGTGATTCCTTTTTTCCAATTATTCCAGTGTTACCTTCACACTCTTCAATATTTACTTATAAGAAAATAACTTTCAACTGCAGATGAGCAGGAACAGTTGATTTTCAAAGGAAAAAAAGCTTTTTATAAATCTTGAAAAACCTCTGGAAGTGCAAGAATGATTCCCTTAGTTAGGTTACAAATAAACTCCTGGTTTTCAGGCCAAAAGTTGTGGAACTCCCATAACTTCAGGACTTTTGAGTTTTTAACCAAATTTCTTATACTTTACTGAGTAAGAACAAAGTCAAATCCCATTTGGTGAGAATCATAATACAGAATAAAAGAATAATAATATAGAATAAAAGAATAATAATGCTGGGTCATCTCACCTTTCTCAACTCCACAACAACTTCATTTCTTTGTCTTCTCATAGTCTGGAAAGAATCAAGATCAAAAACCATCATAATCTGAGTTTAAATCAATTTTAAAAGTTCTTGTATAACTATTTCAGTTCATGCACTTTAAACTTTTACACTCAGGGTTTAATCTTCATCATCAAAGTAGAAATCTACAGAAAATGGAAATAACTACAACATTTCTGTTATTTCACAGGAAATAACACTCTCCTAAGTCATCATGTTGAGGAAAAAAGGAATTAGGAATAAAACCATGTCTTTTAAAGGGAAAAATGGAAGAGTTGTGCATAAAACAGCATCAAAAGCATTACAAAGATTGTGGCCATCTAATAGTAAAATAACTTTATAAACAAGCTCAAATTAAGAGACCCTGCAAGCAGAGCTGAGTTCCAGAACTACCATTTATAAATTAAAACCTTTGACATTCTCAGAGTAATTTTTTTTTCTGTACAGTTGAAATTGACAGTATTCAGGAGAAACTCAATTGTAAATACACATAAATTGGTTTATTGCTGCTTGTGCTACTGCAGTGAAAATAGAGAAATAAATCAGTCTGGAGTGATTTAATTCTACACTTTGAACTCTATAGTGAATGAAACAGCAAAATTCCAAACAATTCCATTTTTATTGTGACAGGGAAAGCTGCAAGTCCCCAAGCACAGGGCAGAAGGAAAAGGAACCTCCTGAACAGCAAGGAGATCTGAAGATCAGCATTCAAACCTCACTTGCCAAGCATTATTATTTTTATCAAAAAGAACTTGCAGTTCATCAGATCAAATTTCAGCTGAGCACGACACTGCAGCTCCTCAAAGGAAGGAGCCACAAGAAAAATGTTCAAGAAAAAAAAAAGTGGCAAAGAAGGGAAGGTTCCTCTGCATGCAAAGATGCAAAGATGAAAGGTCTGGGGGAAAAAAAAAAAAAATCAGCATTCCCCCCCCCCTAAAGTGAGAGCTGCTGGAAAAGGGAAAGTGCCCAGAGCAGCACTGGGAGGACAGAGGAGCTCACTGCAATTGCTCCCAGCCTGGCACTGCCCTGGGATGCCCAAAGCCGAGTAAGGGCAGCAATCACTCTGGGAATATTGCTCTGAGCTCCAGGAGAAGCTGATCCACGGCTGGATCCCACCCAGCACTTGCAGGTTTTGCAAAGATGCTGCGAATTGACACCTGCCCCAGGTACTGCAGGCTGCTGCTCCCAGAGTTTCTCCAAACTCTACATACCTGGCATATCCAAGGTGAAAATCATGTGAGGAAAGCCCCTGATAATCACATTGCAGAACTGGGCCACGCCCCTCGTGATCTCACAGGATTTTTAACACCTTCCCAAAGCACAAGCCAATAAAATCAGCATTCCCACCCAAAAGCTGCCCCGGGAGAGGGATGGCTCTTCCCAGAGCCCAGGGATGACACCGCTGGTCACACCAAAGCTGGTGCTGACATAGGAAGAATTAAGTGGGACCAAAACAAACATCACAAGGGGACAAAAAAAAGCCTCAGATGTATCATGTAGAAAATTCTTTACTTGACAAATCCAATCTGCAGTTGATGAGACTTTAAAAGATTCTCTCTGCTGGGACAAGAAGAATGTTCTCCCTCCTGCCACCAGCTGACAGGCTCTAGCCTGAATTCCTGCCTGCACACCTTGGAATCACAAAAGCCTTCACATGAAAGACAAGGCACCAGTGAAGTCACTCTGAAGCACCATTTACCAAAACCAAATCCACTAAAATCCCTCTCTGTGTAAACAGAGTCTGTTGACACAAGAGTTACAGGTCAGCCTGGCACTGCTCATCCTCTGAGGAAAAGCACAACAAGTGAGAACTGAAGTCAGCTCTGCCATGGGATTTCCCAGTATCACCACCCCAGCTAGAGATGGAATCGTTTGGAGAAAATAAAATGCCAAGCAGAGTCAGGGTGAACTCGTGCTGCCTTTTGGAAAACAGCTCAAAGGGCAGAGATGAGGGATGGTGGTGTGTGGGCACGTGGGGAATTATTCCTTCTGTTCTGGGGGAGATCTGAGCTGGAAACCACTCTCAGCAGAAAGGGCCTGGAAGCAGAGTCCAGCAGGGCCTGGGAAGGGCTCCAGTTGAAAAACATGCACCACTCTGTCAGGAATTCACGTGGCTCTTTCAGTCACTGGATCCTGTTTGTCATTTGCTACATCAAAAATCAAATGATCTGATCTATTTCTGTCGCCTGTGATGGCCACCCCTCCATCCTCCTTTTTTTAATTATATTTAGCTTCAGATTTATCATAAGGGCTATTTCTGACCATTAGTCATGACTGAGCCCTTCAGCTTATCATTAAAATCTCGTATTAGTGATGCTTGCAGGATCCTGACACATTCTGGGGGTTTTCACAACACCATGAGGAACATTCCAAGCAGCTGGCATCCACCAGGCTGGAATGGGAATCCCAAACACACCTGGAATGGGAATCCCCAACACACCTGGAATGGGGATCCCCCAAACACACCTGGAACGGGGATCCCCCAAACACACCTGGAACGGGGATCCCCCAAACACACCTGGAATGGGAATCCCCAACACACCTGGAACGGGGATCCCCCAAACACACCTGGAACGGAGATCCCCCAAACACACCTGGAATGGGAATCCCCCAAACACACCTGGAACGGGAATCCCCCAAACACACCTGGAACGGGAATCCCCCAAACACACCTGGAACGGAGATCCCCCAAACACACCTGGAATGGGAATCCCCAACATACCTGGAATGGGAATCCCCAACACACCTGGAACGGGGATCCCCAACACACCTGGAACGGGGATCCCACCCCCTGCTCCTTCCCTGAAGGGATCAGGAACTCAGCCTGTGGTCACTCCTGAGTGAGGTGGGTTTTGTTTTTTGTTTTTTTTTCTGGTATAAAATATTCACCCCATTTCCACACCTGCAGCAGGAAGGTGTGAGAGCACAGGAGTAGCTGCAAAACTCTGGCTGCCCCTCTCATGCAGGGAAGGCTTTCCAAAGGCACATTGTTGCTGCTGGAGAACTGCAAAGTCAACTGTTACTGTAAATAACAAATGAGTTGGTTGTGCCATCCTTCCTTCCTTCCTTCCTTCCTTCCTTCCTTCCCAGGAAGTTGCTACCAGCACCAGTGTGGTCTGGGATTCCAAATAAAAACAAAAGACACCCCACAGGGAACAGAGATGTAAAAACAGCTTACTTTTCCTCACTTCTATCCAGTGATTCAGGCCCTACTCCATCCATTATTCCCCTCCTATACAAATCCTATCTCAATTCCAAACTGGAGCAATGAAATCTGCTCAAGATCACTGATAAAAATGCACTGGGATCATAAAGCCAACCCAAGATACCCCCAGAAATCACATCTCAGCAACACTTCCCACATCAGAATGAAAACGGGAGTCTGAGTTCCAGATTAAAAAAAAAAAAAAAAAAAATCAATATGACATTACATGTGCCACCAGCCCCATTTTTCCTGGAGAAGCTGTGCATGGCAGAGAAAATGCCTTAAACAAACATCTCAGTATCACTGGATAGTGACAAGATGGATGAGCTTCACCAAAGAACTCCAAGTCAGCTTAAAGGAACCTATTTTTATCTGACTGAGTGAAATTCCTGCTCTCCTTCAGTTCTTCCATATTTAATCCCAAGCAGACTATTTTGTGTGGGATACAGAAAGGGTTGAAAAGCTTCAAAGTACCTGCAATATTTAATATATCTCACACCACCACCTTTCCATCACTCCCCTGGAACTTCCTTGCTATTTTATAATTGGTATTTTTAAAGTCCAGTGAATGATGCTGGCAATTCTTAAAATCCTGACATTACTGATCTTCAAGCATCTTGATGCAATGGCTGCTCCAAAATTAGTTTTGAAGTGCTCTGCATCACAGAATTATCATCATTTCCCTTCATGCATCTCTCAATTGCAGAGCAGAAATCTCTATTTAACACCTCTCCTGTGCTGGCACTGTTCAAGCAATCCTTAATCTCCTGCCCAGCAACACAGGTGAGAAAAGAGTCAGCAGATTCTTCCAGGATTTCCAGAGAAATAAAATGCAGGAGATGTTTTTTTATTTCATTTAAATAATAAAAAAACCAACTCTAAATGTCAGTCAGATTGCAATGCTGCAGAAGGGAACAATCACCAAGAAAAAAAAGGAAATGTTGAATCACCAGGTGAAAGAAAATGAAGCAAATAAAACACCCCAAAACTTTGCAAACCTTCCCAAAGCAAGACCCCTAAATGCAGGGCTAAAAAGACATTATTGAAACTCAAAATTGTTCCTAAAACTCTAGCACAGACACAATGAACAATCTGCACTTATCTGGCCCTTGTATGGTAAAGATTTGATATTTAATTCCAAGATCTGTGGTATTAAAAATTAAGCTTGGCTGGGTGTCAGCACAGCCATCCCCACAATAAACAATCAAATTTCTTTCTCATCCAAGGGAGGG